GTCCGACTCTATTGGTTGGCTAAGGGAATCACACCACATGTTGATTGACATCTGGCTGGTCCAGTTTGTTCCCGCTGGGCTCGACCCGAGGGGTAGGGTGTCAAGAGAGCGGGGCTCTTGGGAGAGCTGCGGCTCTCAGCTTCCGTTCACGAGGGCGTGAACTTGCAGGGAAGCGTGGTGAATTGTAAGCAACCAAAGGGAACGACTTGAGAGACGATCCATGGGGTTCAAATATAGAGGGAAAGGGCCCATGAACAAGAGTGCACCCCCTTTTCCAACTTGCAGGGAAGCGTGGTGAATTGTAAGCAACCAAAGGGAACGACTTGAGAGACGATCCATGGGGTTCAAATATAGAGGGAAAGGGCCCATGAACAAGAGTGCACCCCCTTTTCCAATCGGTTAAGGGTCTTGGGATAGTTGGAGTTAAGCGTCCTTGGGTTTGAATAGTACTGGGCTGGGTGACCTCCCAGGAAGTCCAAACTCAGAAGCTTACAATATGTTAGGGCGGATCAAACTAGAAATGTTGTGGCCAACACTTTCGTGAAGATCTTGTTAAACTTGTGCATATACCTGCTCCAACCACCCTTGACAACGCTCTTCGCCTGACACAACGCTCTTCGCCTGACACAACGTTATGAGATGTCACCTCTTCCACTTCTTGCTACACGTCCTTCCGCTCCACTCCCTGTGGGCAATGGTCCTATTCCAATGGAGGTTGATGTTGCTGTTGCTCAAGTCCAAGGCTAAAGGTGAAGATGTGATTGTGGCCATGATGTTCGTTGTTGGGCATATGATGAAGTTAGTCACACTTATCAACGTTGTCGGCATTTTCCAAATTGGTGACCTCCATTTCCTAGGTGGAGACCTTGGCGTCAACAACATCCTGTTGGTGCCACTACAGTAGAAGGTCTGGACACCAAGATGCATCCGGGAAACAAGGAGTCGCGCAAGTAATGGAGGGACCTTGCACGAATAAATAAGTGACCCTTCCATCTCTCTTTCAGGAGTATCATCAAAGGGTTCACTTGGCATTGGTTAATCCAATGTTTACTTTTCAAGCTCGTTTTTATAATAAAAAGTCTCCTATTATTCTCTCCGTGTTGGTTGATACAAGTTTGAGCTTATCTTTTATTGCTCAACTTGTTGCCACACGTTGCCGTTTACACTTGTGTTGTGTGGCGGAGCCAGTTTTTATTCTTTATGGCAATAACTGTACACATGCATGTGCACGAGATGAGGTGAACTTGGTTGTGCGTGTGGGCAATCTCAAGTTTGGGTTGCAGTCATTACAGGTGGTGCCAAATCAAGCTTTTGACCTCATCCTTGGTATGGATTAGTTGTAGCGCAATCATGCCAAGTGTGACTTTGAGGCTTCTCCCCCTTATCTCATCCTACCTTATATTTCATCCATTCCTCTCACTTCAGTACTTCTTCATCTCTTTACTTCTACCTCTACTTCCATTACTTTTGTCCTCCCACTCCTTCCTTCTATATTTCCATCTTGCTTTGCTCTTCCCTTTTCCAATCCTTCCAACAATCTTTGTGTTTGGCTGGGAAGATAGGGTTTTTCGGTGGGTTTCGGGTGGTAGCAATTGACTGGCTCATGAAGAAATATTCTAATCTCTTTGAATTTGACCTATTGTCTAGGGCCAAGATTACCATACATCATCCTATTCCAACCGGGGATGCGTGTCCAATCAAGGTTTTTATTTATTGTCGGTCACCTAAAGAGATCAAAATTTTACATGTAAACGTCAAAGAGATGTTGGAAAATGGTGTTATTCGAAAGTCACGGAGTCTTTGGGCATGTGAACCTCATCTTGTGACAAAGCCTGATGGGAGTATTCGTTTCTGCATCGGCTATTATCCGTTAAAAGAAGTGATGATCTTGAATGTGTACCCTCTTCTTCACACTGCTGATTTCTTGGATCGTCTAGAGTGAAGTTGTTGGTTCACCAAGTTAGATCTTGCTTCTGGGTACTGACAAGTACTGATGGCCGAAGAAGATATTCCTAAAATTTCTTTTCGTACACCGTTTGGTTTGTACGAGTTCTTAGTGATGCTATTTGGTTTAAATAATGCTCTAGCAACTTTTCAATGGATGATAGATGAAGTTTTTTATGATATGCTAGAGGTGACTATTAACTTCATTAATGATGTTTTGATTCACTTGGAAAGGACATAGGAGGAGCATATTCGTGATGTTTGTAAAGTGTTGGATCGGCTACAAGACATTGATTTAAAGTTGAAGTGGTTGAAGTGCGTGTTTGAGTCTAAAGACACAACTTATCTTGGGTACTATATTTCTCGTGAGGGTTTGCAAGTTGATTTTAACAAACTTGTAGTTGTTCTAAAGTTCTCTATTCTGAAGTGTGTGAATGATGTACAGCGCTTCCTGGGCAAGGTGCAGTATCTCGATCATTTTGTGGATTATCTTTCTGATCGCACTGCTTCGATGCAATAGTTGTTGAAGTCATCAACGTCATCTTTCATTTGGTCTCCAGATTGTGAGTGGGCGTTTGTGGATCTCAAAGAGTTATTGATAACTCCTCCGGTTTTGGCATATCCTAATTACACTCGACTTTTTATTTTACACGTGGATGCTTCTGATATTGGTCTTGGAGGTGTGTTGATGCAAGAAAAGCCTGAATGTGCCTAGTCAATGTCATCCCATTGCATATATAAGCCGTACGTTACAACCAGTAAAGGTAAATTACTCCACGACAAAGAAAGAGTGTTTAGCAGCAATTTGGGGTTTCAAGAAACTTCATACATATTTACATGGTTCTTGAACATTACTTGAAGATGATCATGCTACCGTTACTTTATTATTGAACCAAAAGAACCTGGTTAATCGTACTGCTCGGTGGGCTTTGAAACTTTAGATATATGATTTTGATGTTGTTCATCACCCTTGGAGTTCTATGGCTGATGCTAATGCCCTTTCTTGAGCTCCTCTTCCTTCTCCACTCTCTTCTCATATTTCTAACAAGTCTGTTATTCCAGCATTTGTGGATTTTCTAGATGAGGATTATGTGCTATCAGCGGTTGCTGTACTCGATGTTCAGTGTCTACAAGGTGTAGAGTAGAATCTATCTTCTTTTGATGAGGTTTGCAAGGCTCAAAAACTTGAGCTATGGATACGAAGGCTTCAAGATGGGTTTGAGAATCTTGTATCACTTGCTAATTACTTGCCATTCCGGCATTTACATTCTCAGTATCACCTTGAAAATGGCCTTCTTTATTTTGTGGGGACGGATCCTGATGATCATTTACAACTGGTGGTGCCTTCTATCTTTATTCCATGGTTTCTCTATGCCTACCATAATTCTCCTGTTCTAGGCGGGCATATGGGACATCATCATGTGACCGAGAAGCTGCACAGGTCTTTCTATTGGCCGGAAATGCGACGTGATGTTATCTGGTATGTGTGTAGTTGTGTTTGGTGCCAAACTTGTAGTACTCCCCCTCATGCTACAGAAAGACAGTTGGAGTCAATTGCAATTTCTCATCCATTTGAGTTGATGGCATTTAATCTTATGAGACCTTTTCCATAATCGATTACTAACAATGAGTATATTATTATTGCTTCTGACTATTTGACTCGTTCGGTGGAAGTTGGTGCTCTTGTTAGTGCCTTTACAATTGTTGTTGGATATTTTCTCCTCAATCAAGTGGTGTTTCAACATTCTTGTTCGAAGCAGATTCTTTCGGATAATGGTCCCACATTTATGGCCGAGGCATTTCATGTTTTGATGTCTCGGTTGGGGATACGTCACACTTTCACGAGTGCTTATCATCCACAATCAAACGATTTAATGGAACGGCTTGTTCAAATGTTCAAAGGGATGATTGCGAAGTATATGAACTTTTAGCATTCGGATTGAGATTGTTATTTGCCATTTCTTCGGTATACATATGTCATAGGGGTGTAGAGTTTTGTTAGTGCTTCACCATATAAACTCCTATATGGTCATGATCCAATATTACCAATGGAGTTGGGTTTACTTTCGCAATTGCCATGAGCTGCCAATGCTAGGTTGTGGGATTAGTATTTAACAAGCATTCTTCCATTTGTCTAACTAGAGTCTGCTGAACACTTAGGTTGCATACAACTGGGACAACAACAGCATTACAACTCCCATCATCATCCACTTGCGAAATACAAAGTGGATGACTTAGTGTTAATCCGTTTTCCCCATCTTACAGTATGTAGTTTATCTAAAAGGCTCCTTACTCAGTGGAAAGGATCGTATCGGGTGTTGCAGCAAGTTGGACCACAAGTTTATGAGGTTCGGCATGTCTAACAAGCCAATCTTGAAATGCTTTATATAAAGGGATCAAGAGTAGATAATACCATCTACAGATCCGCTAATGCCTCCTTCTGATGTTCCTCTAGATCCCAACCCATCTACAAGAGAACCCTGATAGTCTTTCATTATTCCGAAAGGAGGGAATGATGTGAGGGCCAAGTGTATAGTTATGATGCTGTATATTAATATTAGTGTAGTGGGATTTTGGTAGCCGTTGGATTGGTTTCAATCCGGACCACTCATTCCTGTATATAAGCTAAAGTTTTTGGGCTAATTGATATGCACATTTTTTGTATTCCCTTTACATATTCCAAGCACTCACACCCCTTAACAATAAATTAATTTCAAATGTGCTTAAATTTTAATATAAAATGTAATATTTTATCCATTGTGTGTTGCTCATCTAGGAATTTAGCAATTTTATTGAGTAGATTCCCTGTACATATTATCTATAAATTAGGCCAGCCCTACCTAAAAAAGCTAAGCCATGTGATTACTTTGTATAGGTTGTCTTATTTACAAGAAAATTTTGATGCCACAATAATGTGTGTTAATCTCCATGTCTTAGTAGTAATAGATTGTGAAGGATAATGTGAAAATCAATATAATAAAATCAAAAACAAGATTTTACATAGCAGCCATCAATTTCTAAAGCATGACTATTTTGAAAGCAGTGGGTTCCAAGACATGCTTTTGCTCCTCCTGGTTTATACTGTCACATGTGATGGATCTCAGGAGGTTTTGGATCGAAATGCAGGGAGTTTTGGAGACGCCAAGAACTTTGGCTTTGGAATTTCCAAGAGCACAATCGATTTCTTCTGTTGGAGGCCATCGCTGAGAAGGCCCTGGTGGTTTCCAAATCGTTTGTGCCCTCCTAATGCACCTCCTTACTGCTACAAATCCCCACCACCACCGATGGAATTGCCAACACCACCGGTTGAATCACCACCTCCACCGGTTGAATTGCCACCACCTCCTCACCATCACAAATCTCCACCACCACCTCCTTACCAGTACAAGTCTCCACCACCACCACCACCACCACCAAAATGTGAGAAATCTCCACCACCGCCAGCTCCATACGAGTACAAATCTCACTGTATTCACCTCCATTGCCACTGTATAAATACGAGTCTCCACCACCACCAGCATATGAATACAAATGCCCACCACCACCGCCGCCACCACCCCATCACCACCATGTGAAATCCCCACCTCCACCATCGCCACCAATCTACTGGTACCAATCTCCACCACCAGAATTAGTTAAAAAATGAATTTCTATCTTTGGCAACTTATAAACAAAGATAAATTGAACATAAGTAGTTTTGCACAGAACTTGAGAGCTTATGATTTTTATCTGATATTCTACAAAGATGATGACAGAAACTTATATAGAAATTTGAGTCAAACACTGAGCTCGGAAGTAGATTCACGAACACCGAATTCGCCACATAATTGCTCGCTCACCTGAGATTAGAACCACAAGATGTAAAAACAGAGTGACAATCTCCATCTATGCAAATATGGAGGAGAATTCTCGTTGACACAGTTCCTACAAGAGGAAGTTACGTAATACGTTCTTATTTGACAAGAAAGCTCGTCTCACGTTATTCCTTTCCCACGAGGTTTCACCAGAGTCATTAAGGCCGACTTCCGGAAGACCAAAAAGCGTGGCTGCTCGGTCGATCAATGCCTGGCCGGCCAGATTGCAACGCTTTTGTTGCTCACTCCACCCTGCTCGACGATGGCATCAATCTTGGCATCGCAATCTCGCAAAAAGCCTTCGCAAGCACCCGCTTTTTCCACAAGCGCTCTTAAAAACTCGCAAGCATACGAGCTGCTCGTTGGAGCTCTCACTCCGAGCACCTCTCCTGCGGGATTTAATGGCGAGCTCCTGGTATAAAATCGCAAACACGCACCTCTTCTCTCCTACGCTCCATGCACAGGAAGGCCAGCAACAATGCTTGCTTCGTTTGTGTTCTTCCTGGTCCTGCTTCTCACCACTTCAGGTATTGCCTCACCTGTAAAAGATGAAGTTTTAGAACTCCAGAAAGGAAAGAATACTTACGAGATTGTTTGTACTTGCCAGGAGAAGTCGAATGCCGATCGAGGAAAAAGACGCATGACGAAGGACCTTCCAGCAGCAACAAAAAGTCTCCCTCGAGCTCCCTGTTTGAATCCAAAGTCGGTGTCAACTATGGCCGGATTGCCGACAACCTCCCCCCGCCAAACCAAGTCCTCCAGCTCCTCACATCCGCAACCGATATCCGCAAAGTCAAGCTCTTCGATGCGGAGCCATCGGTTCTAAGCGCCTTCTCCAACACAGACTTCTCGCTCGTCGTCTCCGCTCCAAACTACATGCTCTCCGATCTCGCCTCGGACCAATCCAAGGCTCTCAACTGGCTCACAAGCTCCGTCGCCAGCTTCTATCCCGCCACCAACATCACCCACATCGCCGTCGGCAACGAAGTCTTCTCGCAGACCGATGGAGCGCTCAAGGCCAACCTCCTCCCGGCCATGAAGAACGTCTATTCGGCCCTCGAGAAGCTCAAGCTCCACAAACGGATCAAAGTCTCCACGCCCCACGCCATGTCCGTCCTCAGCTCCTCCTTCCCTCCATCAAACGGCTCCTTCTCGGACACCACCAGAGCCTCCCTCATGCCACCGCTCCTCCAGTTCCTCAACGACACCGGCAATCCCTTCATGATCAACGTCTACCCCTTCTTTGCCTACTCGACCAGCCCAAAGTCGGTCTCACTCGACTTCGTGCTCTTCCGCTCCACCAAAGGCGAACTGGATCCCATGTCGGGCCTGAGCTACGCTAACATGTTTGACGCCCAGCTCGACGCCGTCCACTTCGCCATGCAGTCACTGGGCTTCGACCGCATACCTCTTCTCGTGTCCGAGACCGGCTGGCCATCCAGTGGTGACGACTCGGAGACCGGCGCTAGCGTGGAGAATGCCCGAGAGTACATCCGGAACCTCGTCAAGCACGTAACTTCCACCTCGGGCACCACCCCGGTGAGGCCGAGCTCTCCCACCGAGGTCTATATCTTCGCGCTCTTCAACGAGGACCAAAAGCCCGGCCCCAAGTCCGAGAGGAACTTCGGCCTCTTCCAGCCCAACGGGAGCCCCGTCTATAGCTCCGACGTCCTTCACAGTGGCAGCAATGGCAGTGGTACCAGCGGCGCCGCCAGTAAGAGCAAGGGGAGGAAGAAGAGATCGATCAATCCCCCGCGGCACCACCACCACCACCAGAAGATGTATCGATCCTCGGCCAGCAGCGTCCGGCAGTGGTGCATTGCCAAGCCCGGCGCCGACGCCGCCGCTCTGGAGAAGGGGATAACCTTTGCCTGCGCCGAGGGAGGGATCGATTGCTCGCCGATCCAGAGCAATGGGAGCTGCTTCGATCCCCAGATCGCCTTCTCGCACGCCTCGTTCGTCTACAATAGCTACTTCCAGAAAATGGGGAGGAATTCGTGGAACTGCTACTTCCAGGACACGGCCATGATCACCATCACCGATCCAAGTAAGAGAAAACCCTATCCCGATTGATCGATGGCTAACCTCGTGGCAATGCAGGCTATGGATCTTGCCGGTACCTCTCCACATAAACCCTAAAACACATAATTTCACCTCATTTAAATGGAAAGCGCGCTAGGAAGCTCGTCTCATGCAGTGAAGATTTCGCGAGGCGCTTTGTTCCAGACGCGGCATTCATGGAGATCCATTCCTTTCTGCCTTCCATTTCCCTCATTCTTTGCGCAGAACGTGGAAAGACGACTTGCTCTGCATGCAAGCCGAATCCTCGCCTGAAATGACCTGTGTTTGGAAAAACCAAGAAGTTTCAGTTCTTTTTAGTGTGAGCTGCCATTCCTACAGGACTACTAGTTCATTCTTTAACCTTTGAACTTCAAAAGAACATTGCTGAAAAGACGGATCACGGCCGCCATTTCAGTTTCCAGCGTAGTAAAGAGAATCTACTTCAAGATGGACGACTTGGTGAGTTACATCTAGACGCCTACTACATCAATGCCAGTGTGTTTGGACTCCCATGGAAGCTTGCTTACGCGAGAGATGGCAACGAGCGCACCCCGACTCAGGCTTGCCCATGGATTTGGCAGGCTTGCAAGCATGTACTGCACAGAGGAAAGAATCAAGGAATAAAGGGCACTGTAGTTTTATTTTTTAATACTAGACATTCTCTTACGGAAGTTAAAAAATTCTGCGAGCACAGATTGCGACCCTAGGTAGAACCCCACTAGGCTTTACAGCGGCTCAAATTGCTGAGGCTTTCGAGGGAGCTCGAGAGTTTTCGACGGTCCATTTAAGAACGGTGACTTTAGAAGAAGTGCAGTTTTATATTTCTCACAGTGGAGATTTGCCCAAAGTCATCGTATGTAGTTCTCAAGTTTTTAGTGTGTACATTAACAGTTTGTTGCCAAGCTTGCTCCTGCATGTTTGTGAGTTTTAATTGCTGATCCTATACATATGTTCTTCGATTGACCAGCCTCCTTTGTTGATCATTACAGAATCCCTTTACTTCGCCAACCTTTCCCGTGCTCGGATCCATTATGCAACTATACACACACTAAGAACTCCTGTAGCTACAACGAGGACACATTGATGGATCTTCTTCTGTTGGAGAATACGGAAGAAGCCCCGCAAGAGACTACATACACTGTGTCTTTGAAAGTAGAAAAACTGCAACTTAATGCAGGTTTTGTTCTTTTAGCTAGGATCAAAGTCGGATCTCGGACCTTTCGGAGATTGAAACATTATAAATTTGAACGTTAAATCATCGTTTTTACAGCTAAATCAAAGAAAATGGATATGAAAAAAAGCTATCACGAGTCTGAACTATTCTGCTGCTCTTGCTTCCTCTTTGCTTTTTGAAGCTGCTGCTGGGCGAACTTAAAACTTCGATTTTTCAAGCTGCTGCCCCTGCTTGGTTTAAGAAATTTTTCGTCTTTAAGCTGCTCAATCTTTGCTGCTTGATCTTAGCTGTTTCAGCCTGCTCCCTTTGTCTCCAAGTTTTAAAACCATCTTACACTTTTCCATTCCAACTTGCTCGATTCTTATGATCTCTGACGCTTCGCTGCTTCAAGTCCTGTTCCACCCTCATTTACATATTCTTCTGGCAGCCTCCTATGATCTGGACCAAGTTGGCAGTCAGACTATTTTCCAAATAGAAAAGAAACATAATCTCTCAATGTTATACTCACAAATTGACCAGAATAAGCAGCTCCTTAGCGTAGTCTCTGAGATGTTTTATTTATTTAGTCTCGAAGAGACGGCCTCCTGTCTTTGTGAATCCGAACCTCTGGCTCCACCGCCACAAGCAGCTTCTTCGAGTTCGAGATCATCTTGCCATCATCATCTTCTATCATCCAAGCACCTGTAAGAGCGATCCTGGACAGCATTGAAGCTCTCCTCCCGTTTCCGTCAACTAGAGAGATTTGTCTTGATCCGTCTCGGCATCTCATCTTCTCGTTCATCTCGCTGTTCTCACGCCGACGTTTGATGGACTCTGCTCCACTTCCAGAGCCCGGCTGGCCGACTGCTCCGAGACACGGTCGTCCACCGCCACTTTCAACAGCTTCAGCTGCTTCATCTCGGCCACCGTCTCGGACAGCTCCGAAAATCTCCTCGAAGAGGTTGATCTTCTCTTGACTTAGAAGAGTGTGGAGAATGGTCTCTCGCGCTTTGGAGGCTTGCTACTGCTTCCCTGTGCTGCTCGAGCTGTCAGAGATTTCAATATACTTGGCTTGCACCTCTGTTCTGGATTTGACTCTCGAGACTTCTCGAACTTCCGTTCTCGTTTCTTCGACGTGCTTAGAACCTCTGACAGTTAGGGAATGCTTCCGCCACTTCAGGCCTTGATCGTGCTGAGAAGCTCGAGCGGAAGCACGCAAAAACACACCTTCCTATGCTCCTTCTTGTCGCATGTAGCGTCCATCTGATCCGTCAAACCTCTGGAGCTCGGCGCTCCATGTGCTCTCTTATCGGTTCTCCTCGGCTTGTCTTCTTCATCCTTCAGAGCTCCTCGTTCAGTCTCCCCAAAGTTTTGCTTTGCATCCGGCACGTCTCTCTCTCCTCGAGCGTCTCAAGCCCCGTGGTCCTCTCCATCAGCTGCCAGTTACTTGCTTCTCCAGGCTCGCCTCTTCTCGACGTGCTCCTCGCCGAGTTCTACCTCGTGCAGCGGATTCGACTCCGTCAGCCATTATCCCCTGGGAACTCCTGTCCAAACACTTCCCTCATTCCACCAGATGACAGAGAACGTCTAGCGTAGTCTGTCTTATAGTCTCCGCAGCCATCCGAAACCCCGGTCACGAGCAGCTTCAGCTATATCGTCTTCTTGCCATCTTGCAGCCATCTGACACTGGTTTCTGTTGTTCCTCGCTACTATCATGGACAGCCTTACCGCAGCAGGCGCTCCTGAATCATCTCCGTCCACTGGAAAGCCGATAAGATAGATCCCTCCTTGCTCCAGACACTGTAGAGTGTGGCCCAACTTGATCCATTGTGTGGAGGCTGGTCTCTGGCATGTTTAGACGCCGAAGTTCGCCAAAGTGTGATGGACTTCTCCGCCTGGAGCCCCGAGACACGGTCGTCACCCGCCACTTTTGCATCTCGGACAGCTACGAAACTTTGGAGTCGAGTCCTCGAGAAGGTTGATCTTCTCTTGACTTAGCTAGTCTCTAGCTTTAGTGGCCTGCTCCTGTGCTGCTCAACTTTCTTGGAGATTTGGCTCGCAGCTCCAACTTCCGGATTTGACTCTCGAGAGTTGGCTTCTCCGATGCTAGAGTCCGAGCACTGGCCTCGAGTTGACCAATCCTTGCAGCCAACTTCTCGAGCTCGTAACTTCATTTCTCGTTTCTTCGACGTGCTTAGAACAGTTTGTTCGTGTTCTCTTTTCAGGTAAACCCAGGGCCTAGTCGTCTTAGAGTTCGCTCCAGCAGATACCAGACTAAACGCAGGCAAACAGCAGCCGTTTTTCAGTTAATCTCCTTGCCATCATCATCCTTCTTGAGTCCCTTGCAGCAATCTGACACAGAGTTCTTTCCTGATACTTTCACCCGAGCAGCTGTACGAGCATTCCTGGACAGCCCTGACCCGTTTTCAAAGTCTCCGTCAACTAGATAGCTCTACCAGATGACAGAGAACGTCCAACGTAGTCTGTCTTCTCTGTGAATCCGAATACCCCCAACGTCACGAGCAGCTTCAGCTATATCATATTCTCGCTATCACCATCTCGTTGCAGTCTTTCCCTTGCTACTATTCCTTCAAGCTGTGAACATTATACCGCAGCAGTAGCTCCTGTCTCATCTCCGTCGACTGGAAAGCTGATAAAATAGAAACCTCCTTGTTCCAGACACTGTAGAGTGTAGTCCCCCTTAATAGTCTTTGCAGTAAGCTGAACACCAGCCTCAGCTGCTTGACTAGAGAGCTTTGATCAGAGTTCGCAAGCTGCATCCTCGCCGGTCTTCTCGCTTTGTGAGTTTCCTTGCAGCAATGTCGTCTTGATCCCTCGGTGAGACTGCATCCTGGCCGATCATCTTCTCGCCATCATGGTTCCGACAAAACAAACACTCATCGTTCACTCCAGCTCTCTACAACAAACACGGAAGTTATTAGCAAACGGCCATCTGGAATCTGGAAGATATATCAAACTTACCTGTCTCCTCTTGAATTCGGCAACAAAATCTCTCCCCGCACGATCATATAGTTCTTTTGCCACCTTCACGAAGACCACCTCGCCGGACTGAAGCTTCTTCCAGGGTTTCCTCTCACTCGGGATCCTATCCAGCATTTTCTGGAGCCTCATCATCTTCCGCGCTCGCTTGATCCTCTCTCGGTCGCTGGATTTGCCGTTGAGCTCCTCGTAAAGCTGCTCGGTGAGTCTGATCAGAATCCGGAGCGCGCTAACACTCCAAGACTTTTCCTCGTCTTCCTCTTCCGTTTCCTCGTACTTTTCCTCTTCCAAGCTGCGGATCTTCTTCTCGGTTTTCCCCCTCTGGTTTAGCCACCGGTTTGCCTTGTGGAAAGCTTCGAGATATGCGAACTCAACATATCCCCCTCGGCCATCGCTAAGATGGGTTTCACTCCGCCGTCGGGTGCCGTCGGGAAGAATGTCCTCCGCTGAGGAAGAGAAGCGAACCATCTTTGGCCTGGAACCTGCAAATCCAGAAGTCCATCGTGAGTCACAGTAGAAGAAGAATGCGAGAAGCAAAAGGAACCATACCTGGACGACGACCTCCGGCTGGCAGTCGAATTGGCTTGGGTCGCTGTTCCTCCTGCTTGGGCTTGTCATTCTTCTGCTGCTTCATCTGATCCTCTTCTCGTTCCAGCGGCTGCTTGATCGGCTTGATCGTCTGCTCCTCCTCTTGTTCCAACTGCTGCTGCATCGGCTTCATCCGCTGCTGCTCCTCCTGTTCCAGCTCTTGCTTCATCGGCTTGATTGGCTTGATCGGCTGATTCGGCTGATTCTTCTCCTCTCGTTCCAGCTGCGACTGCTCCTTGTGACCTTGCTCCTGTTTCACCTCGCGCCTGAGTTCCTTCGTCTGATCGGCTTCTTTCTCCTCCTCGTTCGGCTTCTCTTGCTCCTCCTCGTTCAGCTGCTCAGCTTTCTTCTCTTGCTCCTCCTCCTTCAGCTGCTTCTCGGCTTCGTTTTCCTCCTCTTGTTCCAGCTTCATCGGCTTCATCTGATCGGCTTCTTTCTCCTCCTCGTTCACCTGCTCGGCTTTCTTTTCTTGCTCCTCCTTCTTCAGTTTCTTCTCTTGATTCTCCTTGTTGTTCTCCTCTTGTTCCAGCTTGATCGGCTTCGTCGGCTTCATCGGATCCTCCTCCTTCAACTGCTTGGCTTTCTTCTCTTGATTCTCCTCTTCGTCCTGGTGCTTGTCCTCCTCTTGTTCCAGCCTTATCGGCTTGATCGGCTCCTTGTGCCCTTGCTCCTGTCGTATCGCTTCTAAGACGATTTTCACCTCGCGCCTGAGTTCCTTCAACTTCAAGGCGGCCGCGTCCATGGCTTCTCCCGAGACTGCCTGAGCTTGGACCTTGTTGTCGCCCTTGTGCGCCTTTTTCGGTCGAAAGAGAGACCACAAACCTGTGACGCATCCACAGCGCTCCTGCTCTGTTCGCGCCATAGCTTGCCCTTTGCAAATTGCCTTTAATGCCCTAACCCTTACTAAATCTATTTCACATTAATGTATAAATTAACAATTGCCCAGCAAACACTTCATAGTTTTTTAAAAATTAAGTTGGAATAGTATCAAAATAGAAATTGTTGTGTTTGAGGAAGTAATTATAAACATGTAGAAAACTATCAGATCCCAGAAGCCATCTATATAGCTACAAAATCCCAATAGATTAAACATTATAAAATCAATTACCTCCTACAATGCTACAAGACACTTTGGCTGGAATTGTGCTTATGAATGTCTGGATCTAGCCACAAAAAAGTTTGAAAGACAAAAGAAATTCAATTGATGAGATTTTAGTATCTAGGCTTGCAAAACCTAAATTGGAATCACTCATTTCTGTATAGATCATTCAAGTGTGCAATCAACATTTCTGAGAGCTGGGCAGCACAAACACAAAAGATGGGGGCAGGGTGTAAAAAGGGATGGTTTTCTCATTTCTCATCCCTGTTCAAAAGCCAGCATGACTTATTGTTGTTAGTTTATACTCAACATGGATAGCTAGTGTCAACTTGCTTGGCATTTATTGTGAACTCAAAAATTCTTTTAGGCAGAAATACATATTATAGTTATAGTATTGTTACGCCCAATTGAGAAGCATAAGACATAGCATTGGTGCTAATATTGACTGTGGCTCTACTTTTGCTGTGCTCCCAACTAAAGCATACCCAATTTTTCTGAGATCTATTACATTAATTTTTATTCTCAATGACAGATTTCTCTACTAGTTGCTGCCTTGGCAACTATAATGCTCCATGCCTTGCTTGCTAATTGTTTAGTGTGTGACATTTCCTATCACCTGTGCTGCTCCTGTTGAAGGTTTTAGCATCACCTCTAGAATCTTTTATAAGAGGTAAAAAAAGAATTAGAACTCCATTCATCATTTCACATTCATCATTTCAATCTCGAGAACGAGACCGTGGTGTTGTATTGCATTGCAGGTGGCAAGGGTCATTGCCAACAGCACCAACTTACAGGGTTGCTCAAGTTGGCAAGCAAATGGTCAGTCTTTAGGCCCGAGTGCTAGAAGAGGTCCACCATGTGTGTGTACTAGAAGTGGGCACTCCAAGAATGAGGAGATGGAGGTCCTTGGTCAGTGTGATTAGGTTTCTGACTGAGCTTACCCTATCCCACATGCTTGAGTGTGAAAAGAGGCCACTGAAGTAGTATATAATCCAGGTGAATGTTATATTTCATGTTATTTTGTGGAAGTTATATTGTTAAGTAAGCTTTGTAACATCTGATCTATGGAAGTTAATAATTCTATTCTCACTTGAGGGGGCAGCCCCTCATAAAGAAGGTGATCCCTTGTAGGGAGGTGGTAACATAGGTAGATGATATTATTCATAGAGGGGGCAGCCCCTCATAAGGAGACCCCTTTATAACAACTAAAGTAGTAAAAGAGAAAGTGCTCAAAGCTAACCTTAACCTTTCTACCAAGTTTACTGAGGAGATGGTGGTGCTTTGTGGTGTTTAATAAACCTTGTTTTATGTATAAAGTTATTCCTATTAAAGAATTGAATTTTTCAAGTGAAAACATTAGTTGTGAGATCAGATACCACATTTATTGCAATAAATTTCATAGGAAGGTCAGGGTTGAACTTTGGCACTCATTCTTCAGCTGCTTTAGATACTATATATAACTCATAAGTGGCCACCTCTATGAGATGCTCACTTTCCTACTAGTGTATTGGATCAATTCACAACAAGTAGCTATTTCTGAATGGATTATCTAAGCCAAGAAAGAAGATCAATGATAGTAAACATTCTACATAAACCACAGTGGTCTCTAATCTTAAATTTGCCCATTGGATTGTAGCATTAAATAATAAGATCTATTAGTGGTTAAGTCTTGTCAATTAACCACAAAATATTCAAAGAGCATTATAAGAAATTAAAAATATTGGTTTGAGAGATAGTCATTTGGAGTTCAAATATAGGGATAGTGAAAAATGCACTTATTATCTAAATGATTAAAGGTTTTAAATAGGTTTTGAGTAGTATTAAAAGGAAATTATATTATCAAGGATAGAGGAATCACATTATATATTGAAATTGATATCTAATAATTTCATTTCCTCTTACTAAGGATAGGGTAAAGAGAGTAAAACTTTTGGGAGAGTTGTAATTTTTAGCTTCATTTTATGAGGGTGTGCACTTGTAGGAAGTGTAGTAGATTGTAAGCAAACAAAAATAAATGATTTAAGAAATATTGGGATTTAAATATAAAAGAAAAGAGCTCATAAATAAAAATGTACCCCTTTTTTCAATCAACTAAAGGTCTTAAATACATAGGTTTGAATAATACTAAAAGTATTAAAGAGTTTATAAGTCAATAGACATTACAACAATAGCAATAAACCTTGCTTGTATTCAAATTTTATTTTAGTTGTTTGATAGATCTTTAAAAGAATTTGGTATTTTAAGATTATTTCTTTAAGTAAAGTTGTGTTGAATAATGATTATTGAAGCAATATATAACTTCCTCCAGCACTTTTGTAAATTTACCTTCAGCATTTCTATAACCTTACCTTTAGCAATAGATTAATTAAGGGTTATGACAAACAAGTGGGTTTACTATTGAATAAAAAAAATGAATATATAATATTATTAGAAATAATAGTATTAATTTAGCCTTGAAATGTCTATACATATGCTTACTATTACTTTAAGTTATATAGGCATTAATAAACACTAAAAACATATATTATCAATGTAAAATTGATATATTTTTCTACACTTCTATAGTGCATAAAGATTAAAAGTTTTAGGAAGTAACTTTAATAAAAAATATATCTAATGAAAATATTTATTATATTTATAAAATATTTATATACTATAATAAAAATTGATATTTTTTAAAAAATTGTAAAAATATAATTTAATACATTGAAAAGTTTTTTTCAAAGCTGTCTTTTTCAAATAACTTAAAGTTATTTAAATCAATGTTGATGGGCACATATAATATGGTGTGCCTGGCGATCGTGAATGCGGTCGACAGACACTGTACGCACAGCAAAGATCCTACGCAAAAAAAATTTAAAGTTATATCTATTTAAAAATTTATTAAAAATAGTTGTTTACGGTTTTAAAGTTATTGTACATTTAAAATACTAAATAATACAATTTAAAAATTTAACTTTTCTTTTTTATGCAACTTGTGCTAGTAAAAATATATTAATACAATATATTATCATAAAGTCCAACTATTAATTAATAAAGTAAAAATTTTAATTAAATTAACCTTTTATAAACTAAACATCCAGTACAAAAGATGTGTTCAAAGGTTGGCAAAACATTTACTCATTTATCTATGCATCAATCAAGCTTCTCAAACATTAACGCTGTCCCTCCAGGCTATTGAGGACTTTGCAAGGAACGGTGCTCAGTGCTCTGTTGCTCGCCAGTATCTGAAGCCTCGGGTAAAAAGGACCTAATGTCTCGCACACTACATAAACTCTCGGCCAATCTATTGAGATGTTGTTCCTGCCGTACGCGCAGCACGTCACTGGATTCTGGATTGCAAGGACTGGCTTCTCTAATAAACTGTGTACTCCTCCCAACGCGATCACATACCAGGCTCATTCACGGCCTCTGCTTGAAGATGGAGCTGGAGATCTGCTTGACAATATGGCCAAACGGGGCTGCTAATTTAGCTGAGAAAGACTGCAGCTGAAGCTCTTCTAAACATGACAATGCTCAAGCCTCTATCAGGTCGGAGAGAGTTCAAACGTGTATCCGCTTCCCGACTGGGTGAGAACCTTGCTGCATCGAATCATGGATCAAATATCCCATAAACTTGTTTAGAAAACACTCACCGAAACTCCACGCTACGTAGCTCACAATTTGCGTACCTGCACACGGACTCGGGTGAGTTTTAGAAGAGAAAAACCTCGTCACCTTGTAGTGTTGACGTTCTTGTCGCCAAACTTAGTGAGCAAATTGACCAGAAATCCTCCGTGAGAGACCACAGCTATATCCTTCTCTTTACGATTGGACAGCCTGCAGCAATAAACCAACTAGTTAGGAGGAGGAGAAGTTACAGAATTCATACCATTCGAGGAAAGCTCTAGTTCTTCTGCCGAGCTCTTCTTCAGTTTCCTTGACATCAGGCCTCCACAACTCGTCTTGGTCTTGCTCAATCTACTCCAGACAGTAAGCCAGTATTGAATTTTACGCTTACCTCAGAGAAATCGATCCCAGGGAATTGAAGCTCGTTTTTACTCCTGGAACTCCTGTGATCGCAAGGCATCACGCTCTGTTGTTTCACAAGATTATATTTTTTCTTCCTCTCCAATAGGGAAATCTTACCATTTCCTCCCTACAAAGCTCTACCGCAACGAAAGGCGGAGAGCCCGAGCTGGAGATTGCCGGGTGAGGACACCTTCCAGCGAAATCCACCATCAGAAGTTGTGAAACATCAGAGTGATTGCCTCCTCCAAACACACCGGCCGCTGTTTGCAACGTCCTGGACAGAAATCTCATCGCAAAAGAAACAAAGAAAAGGAAAGACAAAGTATCATACCGAGTTAAGGGTGAGACCACAACAAGGCTAACACGATCTCTCACTCCAGAACTCTCAAGTTCCTTGCCAAGCTGCTCAGCCTGGCAGAAAGAAAAAAATCAGAGGAGATCGAGAGAGATTTGACTTACTTGCTGCCAGCCAGTGGACGTTAGGCTTGCATCAGTGTGCTCGTAGTAACTAGTAGTCGGCTTGTTAGAGCTAGTAGTGACTTTAGAAGATTGGAGCAAAATGCTACAGAACATGAGATTCCACACGCAGCGCAACGCCCTAACGATGTGGCTGATCCTCAGGCGCCTCCACCGCCCGTCAAACAGTACCTTCCACGCGCTCCCAATCTGGAGCAAGATCTCCCCCTCCACGTTGTGGAACGCCTCGCCATGGCGCAGCAATCGCAGCGTCTTGGGCTCCATCTTTCCTCTCA